TTCTAGAGAAAGCAGTTCAGCCCAGACAAGTAGGCATGCTACAAAGCCAACATAGTCACCCAAAACGAAATGTAGCCCCATTTCCATTGCAACAGGGGTTCTCAGCTGAGTTTGCCACCATGGGATATTTGGCAATGTCTAGAGATACTTTGAGCTGTCATAAATGGAAGGTGGGCTGCCAGTGGCCTCTAGCTGGTAGAGGTCAAGGATGCCACTAAGCACTCTTCAATGCACAGGGACTGCATGACAAAGAATTATCCAGCCCCAAAATGTCAGTGGTCCCCAGGTTGAGAAGCCTGGCATTGCATCAACAAATCCTTCACACTGAGGATTCAAAATTTTAGCAGATGTAATGCAAATGAGCTGGGGACAGGGACATTGCACAGTGTCCAGCAGTGACCATCACCTCTCTGTCCCCCTCTCTCCCTCCGTCAGCTCTCCACTCCCACCTCCCACACCTCCTGGGAGCTCCACCTTGCCAAGTAGCTTTCTCCTTCTCTGAAATTTTTACATCATCCAATGTCCTGGAACTCAGGATCCCATCTTACAGCCCAAGGAATTATCAGAATGTTTTTTTTTAAATACCATGACATCTTCCCCAAAGGGAAATTCGAATGCAGAGAGGGAAGATACAAAAATTTTCTCCACCTTGAAATATATATATGAGTGTACTCAAATACTCAGACCAAAATTTAAAAAAAAAAAATCTGAAGGTGTATAACACAAAATGTTACTAAGGCTTAATTCGGAAATTGCAATTTGATTTGCTTTCCCTTTTTGCTTATCTATACTTTCCATTTCTCCCACACTGAAGAGACATGTTTATTAAAGGAAAAGATTATGTCTATGGGGGTGATATAGAACAATTCTTACAAAATAATACCAAATGAATCAAGTCTCAAATTTAGTTTTACATACTATGTGACTCTATTCTTAAAGTATAGGGGGAAACCGAAGGGGAATAGGGAGGATCAAAAAGAACAAATGACTAGAAAGAAACAAAACCAAATCAGAAATGATTTTGTTTTTCTCTGTTGTTGCCTTTCCTAATTTTTAAAAATTAACCCAATATAATACCCAGTATAACCCTCTGGCCTACAATGTGGGTGAGCCCTTCAAATATGATGGGTGTCCCTTCCATGATTAAGTTACATTATATGACAGAAGTGAAGAGAGTTTTACAAATATCAGGTCCCTAATCAACTGACTTTGAGTTCATCAAAAGGAAGATTATCCTGAGAGGACCTGACCGAATCAGGTAAGCCTTTAAAAATGCTTATTTATTTATTGAGAGAGAGAGAGAGAGAGCGCACAAGCGGGGGAGGAGCAGAGAGAAAGGAAAAGAGGAAGAATCCCAAGCAGGCTCCACAGAGCCTGACATGGGGCTAGATCTCACGAACCATGAGATCATGACTCTGAGCTGAAGTCAAGAGCTGGGCACTTAACTGACTGAACCACCCAGATGCCCCAGGAAGCCTTTTAAAGGAGGTTTTACAGGCCAGAGATAGGAAGCAATAGACTCTCCTGCTGGCCTTGAAGAAGCAATTTGTTATTGCTATGAATTTTACATCTGCAAGGAAATGAATTCTGCCAGTATTCACATGGGCTTGGAGGAGGGCCCCAGGTCTCAAACACCTTAGTTGCAGCCTGTGAGACCCTGAGCAGAGGGTTCATTTCCACCGTGCTGAGACTCCTAAAACATGGAAACTATGGGATAATAAATGTCTGTTTTAAGCTGCTTAATTTGTCATAACTTGTTAAGCACCAACAGAACATGAATAGATCCAACTAGGCTTTCAGTAGAAAAATGCATTTTAATAAATAAACCATAGGGGTACCTGGGTGGCTCAGTCAGTTGAGTGTCTGACTCTTGGTTTCGGTTTCGTTCAGGATCTCGAGGTTTGTGGCTTTGAACGCCACAGTGCAGAGCCTGCTTGGGATTCTCTCTGTCCCAAAATAAATAAATAAACTTAAAGAAAAAATAAATAAGTAAGACATAGAATGGAAAGAGAGATCTGGGTCTGTATCATCACCATTAACTACCTATGATCTTAAACAAGTCACTTCTTAAGGTGTGAGGTTTTAAATAAGTAATAAGAGACAAAGGCTTGAAAATCCTATGATTCTAAATCTTGCCACAATCAGCTCTCAGTTACTGTGCTTTTCTCCTCTTGCTTATGATGGAGTCTTGTAGTTCTAAAGATAGGTAACCTGTTAGTAAGGCTGTCAAAATCTTTTGATAATAAAGAGATGCTCTTTATAGCAGTATTTGTTCTTCAAAATATGGCACTTGCCTTACTACAACCCAATTGTAATTTCAGAATAAAAATAGATAGCAAAATGCTTAAGATCAAGTATACACAAACTAAAATGGCACAAAGGAGTATTTTATGAAAAGGAGAAAGCCCAACAAAAGAAGGATTCAACTGGAAGTGTGCTTCTTAGAATTTAGAATTGGATTTTGAAAAGGAAGAGAATTAGAAAATAAAAGCAAGCAGCCCAACCTGAAGAAAGGAGAAAGCAGGATTAAACAAGCAGGTAAAACCGCATCTGAAACAGAATATATGTTTCTACAGACTGAACTGTGTTCCCCCTCCCAGATTCATATGTGATGGTATTTGGAGATGGGGATCGCCTCCTTTGGGAGATTCGGTTCAGATGGGTCATGAGGGTGGCGCCTTCCACTGGGATTACTGTCCTCATAAAAAGAGACACCAGAACCTGACAGCGTGCTCAGTCTCCCTTATGGCCACATGAGGACATAGCAAAAGGCACCTGTCTGCAAGAAAGCTCTCACCGGAGCCTGACCACAGCAGCACCCTGATCTCAGACCTCCAGCCTTCAGAACTATGAGAAATAAATTTCTGTTCTCTAAGCCACTGGTCTGGGGTATTTTCTTACAGCAGCCTTAGCTGAGTAATACATATGTATTAGGGGAAAGGGAAAAATAGGATTGGAGATGTAGAGGAGAGAAGGGAAAAAGATGTTTGGTGGCCATGCAGAGAGTTTGAATTCATTACCCAAGGTTATAAGAAGTCCTTGTGACTTCCTGAGCCGGAGAGATGGAGGAAAATGAGTCTGATGATGATCTCATCAGCAAGTTTATGTGATATGAAGTTATGAGGGCTATGATTAGGATGGTGACCGTGCAAAAGATTGGAAGCAGAACTTCCAAGAAACATTAAACGACATGAATTGCCAGGACTTCAAAATAAATTTAATTATTATTAAATAATGAACTCATTCCTTAAGCTCAACAAATGAGAAATTCTGATAAGGAACATGGTGGGCATCTGGCTAATTAATGAGGAATTGACAAAGGAACCTGGCCCTCTTTAACAGAGGCACCTATCTCCCATGCTCACCAGCAAGCCTCTCAGTTTTCTGGAGAATCAATAAAAAATTGAAAAGGTTGTTTGATCTTTAATTGGACTACTGAAGAACAGAATACTCAGGCTGACCTCTTTCTTAGGTGCCCCTAATCAGTGCTAAAAAAATTGCTAGGGGTGCCTGGGTGGCTCAGTTGGTTAAGCGTCTGACTCTTGATTTTTGGCTCAGGTCATGATCTCACGGTTTATGAGTTTGAGCCCCAAGTCAGGTTCTGTCTGCACTGACAGTGTGGAGCCTACTTAGGATTCTCTCTCTCTCTCCCCTTCTCTCCCTCTCTCTCTACCCCTCCTATGCTCACTCACACTCGTGCACTCCTACTCTCCTTCTCTCTCTCAAAATAAATATTTTTTTTCAAATTTGTTAAAAATGCTCACTGTTTTGGGGTGCCTGGGTGGCTCAGTGGGTTAAGTGTGCAGCTACAGCTCTGGTGATGATCCCAAAGTCCGTGAGTTCAAGCCCTGCATCAGGCTCTGTGCTGACAGCTCAGAGCCTCGAGCCTGCTTCAGATTCTGTGTCTCCCTCTCTCTCTGCCACTACCCCCCTCACTCTCCTTCTCTCTCTCTCTAAAATAAATAAACATCAAAAAAAATTTTTAACTGAAAAAAAGCTTTACTTTTTTGGTCTTTTGTTGTTAGAGTGCTTTCTTATTTTATTGCTTTTAATCCTCATGACAGCTCTGAGAGGTAAACCAAAGTAAAATAATCCTGATTTTGTAGATTAAGAAACTGAGCCTCAGGAATATTATATAACTTTCCAAGGTTTCCGTAGCTGAACTGCTGAGTTGGCACATGTCACAAATCAGAGTAGTGCCCAGGTCTGTTCCACAATATGGCTTTATCTTTTATTTATTTTTTGGTAGCACATGAGACTGCTCATTTAAGTGCATTTTTTATTTTTATTTTTATTTTTTTGAGAGAGAGATCACATGTGAGAGAGGGAGGGGCAGAAAGAGAATCCCAAGCAGGCTCCATGCTGGGCATGGGGCTCGATCTCACAACATGATCTCATGAGATCATGACCTGAGCCAAAATCAAGAGTTGAACACTTAACTGACTGAGGCACCCCACATTCATTTTTTAATACCTTTTTTTTCAAAATGAAGTACAGGCATACCTCAGCTTCGGTTCTGGCACACTGCAATAAAGCCAATTTTACAAAAAAAAGCAAACATTGCAAAAAACTGAGTCAAATGAATTTTTGGTTTCCCAGTGCATATAAATTATGTTTACACTATAGCCTATTAAGTGTGCAACAGCATATGTTGTAAAAAAATGTACATACCTTAGTTTAAAAATATGGCTAAAAGATGCTAACTACCCTTCCCTGAGCTTTCGATGTTAATCACTGACCACAGATCACTGTAACAAATATAATAGGCACATTGTGAGTGCCCAATGGAAAAGTTTGAAATATTTCGAGAATTACCAAAATGTGACACAGAGCAGATGCTGTTGGAAAAATGATGCCAATAAACTTGATCCATGCCAGTTGCCACAAGCCTTCACCTTTTTAAAAAAATCCAATACCCGTGAAACACACAAAAAAATAAGGTATGCCTTATTAATAGTTTCTTTCCTATTGTCGCCTATTACCAATTTCCACAAACATAGTGACTTAAAACCACACAAATTTATTATCTTACAGTTCTGAATATCAGAAGTCCAAAAATGGGCCTTCCAAGGCCAAAATCAAGAAGTGGGCAGGGCTGTGTTTCTTCCGGAGGCTCCAGGGGATAATCCACTCTTTGCTGTTTCTATATTCTAAAGTATGTCTGCATTCTTTGGCTCATGGACCTCTTTCAAAACTAGCATCTCTTCTCTCTTTGACTCTGGCCCTCCTGTCTCCTTCCTGTAAGAATGTTTACAATTATATTATGACTATCCATACTCACTTAATTACATCAGCAAAGTCCGATGCCTTCAAAGGTAACAACGTATACACAGATTTGGGAATTAGGAACATCTTGGGGGGCGGTGCATTATTCTGCCTGCCACAAGGTATCATCTATATACATTAAAATGCGTTGATCTTAAGGGCATGGTTCTATGAGTTTTGACAGATGTATCTCTGTCACTTATGTGACCCGCAAGGTAATTAGACTATAGATGATTTCCGTTAACCAAAAGTTCCCTCTTGCTCCTTTCCTGGCCATTTTTCTCTTCCCACTCTAACTCCTAAGCAACTGCGAGTCTGAACTCTATCACTACAGGTTAGTTGTAACTGCTGTTGAGCTCCATAGGAATGGAATCATAAAGGATGTTGTCATTCATGTCTGTTTTCTTTTGCTCAGCATGTTTTTGAGATTCGTCCATGATATGCACGTATCAGTAATTCTCTCCTTTCTGCTGCCAAGTAATATTCCATTGTATGAATATATCACAGTTGGCTTATCCATTCACTACAAGGTGAACATTGTAAGTTATTCTGAGATCTTCCCTATCATGAATTTAGCTACGATTAACATTATTTCATGAAACATTTCATGAGCGTAAGATTTCATCTCTCTTGAGCAAGTACTTAACAACAGAAATGTTAAATTACAGTGTTGGTGTATGTTTACATGCACAAGAACAATGGTTAAAAAATTTACTCAGCAGATGTACCCTTTTCCAGCCCTATGAGTTCCAATTGCTCTACATCCTCATCAACATTAGTCATTGTTTAAAAGTTCAGCCATTTTAAGGGGAGTAAGAGATACTTTGTTGTGATCTGAACACCTTTTCATGTGCTTATCGTCTATTTATCTATTTTCTTTGCAGCGGTATGTTCAAATCTTTTCCATTTGTGTATGTTTTATTTTATTTGTATATTTATTATTGTATTTCTATTTATTACATTAATATATTCATAATATATGTTATATTTATGTTATTCATATTATGTAATTCATATTTATTTTATTTCTATGTTTATAGCCTGGATAGTTTTAAAAAATATATTCATTATGTGTTTACTATCGAGTTCTTAACACATTTTGGACACAAATTCCTTTTAAGATATATGCACTGAAAATATTTCCTCCTGTTATCTCTGTGGCTCATTCATTCATCTTCTAAAAGATTTTAATATATAGAAAGAGATAGATAGATATAGAAATGGGAGTGCCTGAATGGCTCAGTTGGTTAAGCATCCAACTCTTGTTTTTGGCTCAGGTCATGATCTCAGGTATGTGAGTTCAAGTCTCATATCAGGCTCTGCACTGTGCAGAGCCTGCTTGGGATTCTCTCCCTCCTTCTCTCTCTGCCCTCTCCTGCTCCCTCTTTCCCTCTCTTAAAATAAACAAACATATGCACACCTAAACATACATCTATACCTACGTACACACACACACACACACACACACAGACACACAGACACACACACACTTCCTAGCTCTGTCTGTTAAGAGATTTTAGAAACATTAACAACCCAGTAGTAATGAATACTCCTAGAATATAAACACCATTCTCCACTGAAAGAAAACAGGTCTTCTTGGAGAAATAGCTGATTCCAGGGCTGGATCAAGGAAAGTAGAAAAATATAAATAGTGCAAAAATGTAAGAATGCTCTCAAAAAGATACAATAGTCAGTTTGAAGAAGCCCTCACTGGCTAAATCTGAGATAATCTGAACATCAAAATGATGATAGGTAGGATTATAAAGTATTGAATAAAAAATGGGTGAGTCTATAACAATGTAAATTAATCAATTACATGAAAAAATAAATAAGAAAAATCTCTGCCTACACTAGAAAGCTAATAATAAATGTAGAAAGAATGATAGAATTAGAAAACCACCATTTGGCAGCTGTCATAGCAATTATTGATTCAGGCAAGAATCATGAATATACATGGTAAAACTAGTGGGTGAATGTTTAAGGAATAGTGAGATATTTGCAGAATTTCAAACTATCTTCTTCAAGATACATATCAACTGCAAAAGGTAAATACAATGGAAACACCTCCTTAACCAATTGATCAACATTATCATTGCCAGAATTCGGACTAACTAACAGCATTTGGCTCCTGACATGATTCACTAAGAGAATTCAGCAACATTTCTGTGGTGGTCTTCCCAAATGTACATAATCTGAATGTAATCATGACACAAATTGACATTAAGTTACATTCTATGAAATAACTTATTTATACACTTAAAAATTACTAGTAGCAAGAAGTTCAGGAACACACATCCCTTCAAGAACTCTTCCGGGTTAAAGGACACTAATGAGATGTGACAAACTGGATGCAAATGGCAACGTTGGGTTTTCTATTTTAGAAAGGACATCATTGTGGCAAGTCAGCACACTATGAATAAAGTCTGTAGATTAGATGATAGTATTGAACCAGTGTGAAGTTTCTAATTTTGATCACAGTTCTGTGGCTATGTTACAGAATTCCTTGTTTTCAGGAGCTACTAACATATTTAGGGATAAAGAAGCAACATGCTTGCAACTTATTCTCAGTTGTTTTAATTGTATACATTGTGCCAGTGTATACATTTTTCATGCATATGTGAAATATGTATTCATTATACATCTTAGTATATATGTAACACATATATTTCTTTCTGTTGCTGTTGTTAATGCAGACCTCCAAGTTGGATTTATGTGAAGTCAACATGGCATAGTTGGGAGCCTATTCAAAAATAGGAAATGATCAGGGTGCCTGGGTGGCTCAGTCAGTTAAGTGTCAGATTTCAGCTCACGTCATGATATCATGGTTTGTGAGTTCTAGCCCTGCATCTGGCTCTCTGCTGTCAGTGTGAAGTATGCTTCAGATTCTCTGTCTCCTTCTCTCTCTCCTTCTCTCTCTCTCAAAAATAAAAATAAGACATTAAAAAAAATTGTTTTAAGACTAGAAAATGATCAAAGGACACCTGGGTGGCTCAATCGGTTAAGCATATGGCTCTTGATTTGGCTCAGGTCATGATCTCACAGTATGTGAGTTCAAGCCCCTGTGTAGGACTCTGCAGTGACAGTGCAGAGCCTGTCTGGGATTCTTTCTCCCTCTCTCTCTGCCCCTCCCCCACTTGTGCATGCATGGGCTCCTCAAAATAAATAAACTTTTAAAAAACTTATTTTGCATTGTAAATGTTTTCTAAATTTACTACCGAGTGACTTCCATTTACAATAATATTATTTGAATACTCTGAGGACCCTTATTTGAAGATCTTTCTCTTTTACCATCTTAATTTTGTACTTACCGTCTCAATTTCTAACGAGTATATAAACTCGTGCTGAATCAAACTTTTGAGTACAATTGTTTTAATTGGTCACTTTATCATTATATCCCAACTATTAATAAAAAGGATTATGTGATTAGCTCATTCTCATGCAGGACGGGGGGAAGCTCCAGGCCACTATCCAAGCCACACTTCAAGAGAGCCAGTCTCAGAGTGATAAAAAGTAGCATTATGACTGCCCCTTACTATTGACCTAAAATCACTAAACCATCTGGCCCCAGTCGCTCTCTGATTTCCCCTGCTCCCTTTCTCCTGCCCTCCTTCATGTACTTCTGCAGCCACATAATTCCTTGCTATTCTTGGAGCATAAGAGACATGCTCTTGCATTAGAACCTTTATTGGGGTCGCTCCTTATTCCTGAAAGGCTCTTCATGCCCACAGTATTTTTAAAAAACTTTTTATTTTCTATTTGAAGGGTAATTAACATAAGTGCTATATTTATTTAAGATGTTACACAAATCAAAACCACAATGAGATATCACCTTACACCTATCACAATGGCTAGCTCCACTCCATGTCTTTATGGTTCATTCCTCCTAAGTCTCTGCTCAAATGTGAGCTAAACAGGGAAGTCTTCCCTGACCTCCCTGCTTTAAATGTAAATGGCAGTCCCCACTCACCCCCCAGAACCCTATTCCCCTTCCTCGCTTTATGTTTTTTCTCTATAGTACTTAGCACTTTCTAATAAATAATTTTTTATTTATTCTATTTCTCCCATGGCTAGAATGTACACTCTATGAATTTTGTCTGTTGTATTGATTGTTGAATCCTCAGCACCAAGAACCTGGTGTATCTGAACAGTCGGTGCTGAGAAAGAAAAAGAGGGGCCCTTGACAATCAGAAGCTGGCCTGACACACACAACCAGACCATGTTATTCTTCTATAGGACATCCACAATCTCAGAATACCAACCACAGACCAGTTATTCTGCAACTAAGATAAAATGAAACAAAACAAACCATTTCATGATTTTATCTAAGCACAGACAGAAACAAGTTCCCTGTGTCACCACAAAGTACCAAGCACTTCCTCTCTTGGCTAAAATAAGTAACTACTGTTTATTCACCAATGATTGCTTTATCCTCATTCTAATCTCTCCTTTAGGTAAGATTTACTGATTGATTTCTACCAAACCATAGAAATCTGGGGTACTTCTAACAGCATCCAATCTAGAACAAACCCAGATTCCCTAGATCCTCCCACCAATTACCCAACCAAAGTGCAAATCCTATAATAGGTTATTTCTAAAGCCCCCATGCACAGAGACATGCCATGCATGTGTTTCTCCTCGTTGCAGTAAGTACTAAACCTAATGTGTTCAACTACACTGTCGTCTTTAGCTGGAGGCATTGACTGTGCCCAGACAATATTTGTTGAATAAAGGAAGGAAGGAAGGAAGGAAGGAAGGAAGGAAGGAAGGAAGGAAAGAGGGAAGGAAGGAAAGGTTATCTTATGAATATTATGTTCTTAATACAACATTCACTGATTAAATACATTGCCATCTACTCAGTTAAGTAGTGTGAATTTAATGGGAGCTCTAAGCTGTTTATCTCCACCTTATGAGGTTCACTTAATCAAGTTCTTATTGAAATATTTTTTAATCCAGTTTTAATCCAGTCTCTCTCTCCAGAACTGGTAGTTAATAAATCTATGAAAAAATTAGACCAAAAGATGCCTGTCCATTCCTCCAGGGTATAAAGGTATTCCAGCCTTTCCTTTATCTGGTATGAATCAACACTACTTAGAAAGCATACACACCTCCAAAATAAATGTCACTTCAGGATGGAACTTGGTAGAGCCTGAACACGTGCACACACATACACACACACACGCACTCGCAGATACACACGCCACACCCTATTCATTCTATCAGCATCAGAGCTTAGGTATGTTGAACACTGTGCTCTGCAGTCGGGATCTACACTCTGACCTTTATGACAATTATAATCTTAAAAAGCTATAAGTACATTCAAAGCATATTTGATGATTAATTATGTGCCTACTATAAACAATCCTGGAATCATAGTTAATACAGTGAAGTAAAGAGCCTGTTGCCCATTTACTCAAGGAGCTCAGAATGTTTATGAGGAGACGCCAGGTTCCAAATCGTGATTTGGTGCAAGGATTTCAATTTTCATTTATCCATGAGAAATGAACACAAAAACAATGACTTGAATTTACCTCATCTATAGCAAAGAACGTACCTTCTTCTCTAAGCTCTAAGGGGAAAATATTCTGCTCCTTGTCTCTCCCTAATCCTCCCCTGGCAGATATGTTGGTTCAAGCACTGACAGCTTGTGTACATGGCCAACCAAATAGATGCCTAAGAATAGCACAGAAAGGATACACTTGAATAGAGTTAGTGACAATCATGGCATTCTTAGGAAAAGGGTCTGGGGGTTGTCTTATCATCCATAAGCAAAAAGCAAACTAGATTTATGACCTCAATACTTTCTGGAGATTCTCAATACATATTGATTGTTTGATTCATTTCAATGAAATAAGGTCACATCAGTGTCCTCTGCATGAAAAAGCGCTTATTATCTACCTCCATTGGGTCCTATGCTGTGTTGTAATGCCGAGCAAACAGGTTTTCTACAACTTGGAAATCTATGACAGTGACCCAGAATGCTGATATGGACAAGTTAAAAAGAGTACAGACAGCTGAGCAAATATTAAAGAAGTCTATGAATTAATAAATAATATTAACATTTTGTGTAAGTAGAGTGAGTACATAAGTTTAACTGGGAATGTTGGCAAGAAACTTGATGAATGTTTGCTTGGACTAGATAAGGCCATGGAGAATTCACAACCTTTTCACTAATTAATCATCATGCAGTCTAGCAGGCCAATAACATCTGGCTTTCCCACACCAGTATTCCCCCACTAGACCTGTTTAGGAGAATTGGAATTTCCCCACAAAGTCAAGGTCCTGTGAGCATTCTCAGAAGACGTCAATTATTCGTTGTTGGCTGAAGACAGTGTAACTCTAGCACTCTAAACCATTTTCAAATTAAGGGAATAGAACTAGTTTTATTAGTCTTAATAAAAACTAATATTTTTGTTTCCTTCTTTGTTTCAACCAAGCAATCAATCAGAAATAATATTTGTAGAACATTCTGTAATTAAAGAAATACTTTTTTCCTGCATATCTCTTTTGAGATATGAACCTCACAACAGACCTAGTGAAAAAGACGTTATTAATATACTCACTTTACAGAGCTGCAGAGGAGTGAAGTAAATTTCCTTATACTAGGAGTGCAAATGCTCCTTGATATTTCCCTGTAAAATATTTTAAGATTGAACTTATAATAGATAGCAAGTATGTTGAAGATCTCACTATTAAAATACTTTATAAGTAAGGTGGACTATCAATCAACAAAAATTAGTTAGTGGCAAGTCCAAAGCTATATACCCATGCACAGAATTACATAATTGTCTTTGGCCTCAGAAAGTTTACATCCCATTTAAAAGGCAAGTTTGTGAATGTTCTGTGTACCCTTAGAGACATAAAGAATAATGAGAACTGGCCTGGTCAGAGAAGGCTCAGCCAAGATGAAATCCAAGTGAAAGTGGGAAGGATGCCATGGCTGCGGGTAAGAAGAAGGAAGGACAGTGGGGAGAGAATAAAGGAACCATGACAAGGCAAGAGTGTGTTCATGTGGAAACCGGGGAAGTGGGAAATGTCCTCATGCATGTAGCCCAGGACCTTCAATATAAGAAGCACTTAGGAAAGAAGAAGATAAAAAGGGAAGCTGAGTCTCAGGCAGTGAACAGTCATTCCCTAATCTATCAAACAGATAATCCCTGCTTCTTTTGTAGAGGGCAGAAAAATTTCTTCACAGTATTTCCTCAAGAAAATAAAACTGTCAGCACAAGTTCCTATTTTGTCAGGAGAAATTCTAGTATTTTTTGATTCAATGACAAAGGCAGTCATTGAAAATTTTTGAGCAGGAATTTTAATTTAATTTCAATTGAATCGATATTGAATTTTGAAAGGAAAATGAATCTGGCCATATGAGGCTTAGGTAAGAGTCAAGAGAAAATGATGTTGGTGAATACAGCTAGAACTCAGGAGCATCATGCAGGTAAGAAAATGAGACCCAGGAGGGAAGTTTTGAATGAGAAAGAGAAAAGCACTCGCATAAAAGAGTAATTACATAGCTCAAATTATTAGGATGCAATGATCGATAAAATGAAAAAGGGAGGAAAATACACCAGATTTTACTCTATGATTTAAAATCAGAGGAACTCTGAGGAAACACTGTTAGTGACAAAAACAGAGCTGAGTGCCAAGGAGGTAGTAGTGGAATAGTAATTGGTCAATATTTTTCCTTCATCCCCTCCGATGTGAATGCAGAACAGCAGTTAGCTTTTTTGTTTTTTGCTTTCCAGCAGTGAGCTTTTTATCCTTGTCCTGGAAGATGGAAGAAATGTCTCAGGTGTTAAGATATGTGGCCAGTGTGGACGTCTCCAGAACCCTGACCTCAAACTGAGCTCAACTCAGTGCCAGGACTGAGTTGACAGTGGGTGGACTCTAGGGAAAACAAACTGACACAATTAGATGAAAGGGCAAGAACACCAAGCTACTGCCCTGCTACCCAGTGGGAGCATGCCTGAAGTCAGTACTTAATATAGAGGACTATTTCATTTTCTGCAATGCAATTCACCATCACCTTTATCTCCAAATACATCAACCCTGCCTCCCGAACTTCGTCAATGAAGAAGAGAACAGTGTAACTTACAAAGATTACACTGTACAAAGAAAGGGATAAGGACACGTGTGTGAAAGGGTTTTTGCAAAGGCTGTTGGTGCGTCTTCCAGATAATTATTATCTGGTGGCCCTCCTAAAAATAAACACTAGCATTGAAATGATCTGCACTGAATGGGGTTTTATCCTTTTGTTTTGTTAGGGAAAGGAGGGCAGGTAGTGAGTTCTATCCTAGTTTCTGTATATACGGCACTGTTTTATTTAATTTCAGAAAAAACCCTCGAACTCAGTCTAGCTGTTATATTTTTCCTCGGTGTTGATATCACTACGTCCAATTCAAATTTTCTAAATAAAACAAAGAGGAATAAGAGCTTAATACATTACAAACTCTTAACCTTACAATGTGTGTTGCCTCATATATATTTTGGCTCAAAAAAAAAGGGGCTGTGGGTTCGTGGCCTTGAGTTAACGTCTGCCCCAGATGTTAGTTAAGTAAGTTCTCTCAACTTCAACAGCCACCTGCACTTTTAAATCTTACCCCACAGCGGACTACGTTTTGCAAGAGCACACGTCGAGAGAAGCCCATGAAGTGCATTGCGGGAATTGTAGTCCTGGGTCACTTTCTTTTCTTCCCGGCCCTGGACCCACGCTCCGATTCCGGGAGGGTTGAACCCAGGATCTACCAATTAGCTGGGGCCATGTCGATGAGGCCGTGGTCCTACCGGGAAAGCCCGTGTGGGAACCTCGCAAAATGATTGGTCAATGCATGACCCCGGGGGCGGGGCAACAAAGTGGGCGGGAAGACTGCGACGATTGGGCACGGAGCCCGCGGCGGCGGGCGGGGATTGGCTGCGCGGTAGGGCAGGGAGGCCTGGGAAGGGGCGGAGGAAGGAGACCAGAGCCGGAAGAGCAGCGGCGAGGCGGTGGCGGTGGCTGAGTCGGTGGTGGCAGAGGTGAAAGCGACAGCTCCAGAGGGTGGCAGCGGCCGCGAGAGCAGGATGCGAGTCCGGGTTGGGCTGCTGCTGCTGCTCTGTGCGGTGCTGCTGGGCTCGGCCTCGGCGTCCTCGGGTCAGTATCCGCCCCCTCGGATTGGAGGCCGGGAGCCACCGCCCCCCGGCCTCCAGCCCGGGGCAGGGCCGTGGAGGCTCAAGCTGGAGACTCCACTGTCTCTGGTCACACCTTGCACTAGCCTGTCACTCGCTGTCATTCCTTGGACTTGGGCTGGCTTGGGCTAGAGCGAGTATTTAGGGAGCTAGAGAGGGGAGGAAAAGAAGGGGCGGTCACCCTGCCCACACCTCTCCTCACTTAACAAACTTTACGCGACTCCTCGCGAATGAGGAATTGACTGTGGGAATGAATCCCAACAGCTGGCTCAGATCCACAGAGGCACCTGAACCTTACTGGAACCTCCTCGGCTCTCATACAGATTATGTGCTTGGGATTTGTAAACTAAGTAAGTGACACACCTGGGGCTGTCACTGAGCCGAGTAAGGTCCATCAAAACCAGGATGTTGACAGTGGTTTGGTGCATTTGCTTAGCACATGAGGGGGTCCCTTGTCTCTTTATCTACTTAAAAGTGATGACTTTTGATGTAACTGTGCCCACTCTCCACCTCTTTTTAAGAAATATTCCTGAGAAAGTGCTGTTTACCTCAGTCACAGTGTTGGGGTTGCCCCATGTTTGTGGACAGTAACTTTATGACTTTTGAGAAAATTTGGTCCCTATAAATTTAAAATGTACAGCAGCTGGTTTTCATTTTTTGAATAGATGCAGAAAGATATGTGACTTTGAATTGATTTTCCAGTTAGCTGATTTATACTATGGTTCTGGTTTTTCTTTTCTAATAGTTTAATCCGCCTACGTCTGAAAACTTCTATTTTGAAAATGTTGATAAAGAAGCAGTGTTTCTGTTTGTAAAGAAACAATTAGTACAATAAAGCTTTTGAATTTTAATCAGTTTAGCTAACAAGACAGCTGTTCTACGGCTTTAAATTTTTTTGGAACAAGGCAGGGTATAAATGTCAACTCTTTTTTTTTTTCCCAACAGAAAATTTCCCAGATGGTTATTTGAATCCCCAAATTATCTGTCCTAGTTGTAAGTCAATGCCATAACGTCATTCTGTTTCTAAAATAAGAGGTTTAAACCTAAAATTCTATCCATAATGTGGTTCGAGATACCATTTCAAAAGCAACAAGCATATGCTAGTTACTTGACTGCCAGCATTATGCTTTGAGGTCTGCCTTATCCCCGTTTAGTGATGGTTTGTATTCATCACCAAATCTTGAAAAACTCTACCTAACTCTGGAAGCCCTGCTAGCAATTATTTGACCAAAGGAAGTATGAAATGAAACTGTTGAGTGTAATGGATAGAGTAACTGATGGACCACAGACCACTTGAGTCAGAATTCCTCTTGGGAGTTTGTTAAACATGCAGTTTTAGGTCTGGAAGAGGTCAGACATCTGTCGTTTAACAAGGTTCACCAGTGATTTCTTCACACTAAAGTATAAGAACTACTTAAGGAATAAGGTAAATATTCCTCTGAATTCAGTGTGCAGATTTTAAGGAAAATTAAAGCGTACAAACATTTTCCTGCATCTTCTGTTAGCTAGATTTCACATACTTAGAGCTTCATGTCAGTGGAGATAATACTTGAAGAAGTCATTTTAGCAACAATTGGGATTCTTGGGTAGTTATAATAGGAGATTATCAATACTGAAATGTTAAGTCACTGGATTGTGTTGATGTAAGCGGAGTACTGGGTTCAAGAAAGTTCTGCTCCGATTTTCATCATAAGTTAAACTGTGCCAGAACGTTTCTCTGGCAGAGGCAAAATCCATACTTAGCCAGAGCTGAAACTGTGTGGATGTGCTGCTGACAGGTAATAAGGACAGTACCATACTCACATGAAGCACAAATATGGCAAAAACACTTTTGTGAGATAAAGTTTTAGAAATTGAGTACATGGATTTTTGGTTGATTTTTTTTATTCATTAAATTGCTTATTCATACAGGAAGTCCGCCTCATTATTAGTTTAGATGTAGAGATTTGCTCCTATTTAAAACTCAAGTGTTGGGTCATAGTTTGTGTTGACTTAAACTTTGAGAATTAGTGGTTACCTAGGGCAAGTTGCATTTATTACCAGGTAGAACATAATCAGCCAACAAAGGGAATCTGTCCTGTCACTGTTAATAGCTATTATTTCGTATCTTGTCTCAGAGGCACATAAAAATATGAAACTTTTATTGGAAACGTTTTCTTTTTCCTGTGAATAAATAAAAGAGGGCATTAAAAAGGTATTTCTCCTTCATTCACTCAATAATGAAAAATGCTATGATTTTTCTCACTTAGAAATACATGCTTTCTTGGGGTGTCTGGGTGGCTCAGTGGGTTAAGCATCCAACTTTGGCTTAGGTCATGATCTCATGGTTCATGGGTTGAAGCCTCGCATCTGGCTCTGCTGACAGCTCAGAGCCTGGAGCCTGTTTCAGATTCTGTGTCTCCATCTCTCTCTCTCTCTGCCCCTCCCCCACTCACACTCTGTCTCTCTCTCTCTCAAAAACAAAAACATTAAAAAAAACATGTATTTTTAAATTTTCAACAGGAAGAGATAGTTTACTTTTTTTCTTTATGCCAAACAATGTTACAGAATCCTTTAAATTAGATTCTTTGCTAAGCATTTCAGGTAATAGTTCTATTTTCATATTCAAAGAGTAAATTTCACGTTGCAGAGGATGTTTAATTTCGTTGTCTTTTGTTCCTTAGGACATTATTGTGAGTCAACAGGACAGGTGTTACTATTCTCCTTTGACACATTGAGAAAAAGGCTGAGCAAGCTTGCTGTATTGAACCACATATGTAAAATTAACATGTAATGAAGCCAGGTTTCAAACGTAACTCTCCAGGCCTCGATTTGGGAGTGATTAAAAATCAGGAATATTGTGGGATCTGCACAGAATCAGTGGCAAAGCAGAAAATAGGATGTCTGCTCTCTTTTCACCAAACTCAGTACTTTCCGGTTTGAAGGTCTATCAGTCTGCTTTGTTTACATAACAAATTGGAAAATGAATCTGTGATGATTACTTTCCTCTGAAAGAATATCCCTGGTACTTTTTGCAGTTTGGTTAGCTGATATAATAAAAATGAATATTGTCTTTTTCAGAAGAAGGTGTACAGTTACTAACTAACATTACTAACATGTAGACAATTATGTTTTGGATGTGTTGCTGTTGAAGGAGACACCTGTAACTCTTCGTTGAATTCTTTTGCATTGTTTTCTTGATGTCTATGTGCTGATAAAAGCATTATTATGTTTTTATTTATACATAACTTCAGTGTCTTTAGTTGTTACCTGGCTACAATTGTGAGAAGTTTCTAAGATTATAAACAACTTCTATAAAACTGTTACATGAATGGATATATCAGTTTGAAAGAGAAAATAGCTTATGCTTTAAGACTACCATCTGGAGTAGTCTTTCCCAGTTTAGTAAATGAGAAAGAGTTCTCTTATTTACCAGTAACCTTGGTATATATTCCTAGTTTGAAGAGAAAAGAGACAGAGAGAGAAGCATGATGCAATTCACATGAAATAACCCTGATGTCACAAGTTTCCATGTCTCTTGGAGTTCAGAAACACATTTTGCTACTCAAATGTGTCAAATGTACGTGTTTTAAAATTTATTTTTAGGTATCTATATTATATACCTGTTAGCTACGTATGTGACCTGTGTTGAGGAGGTACTAAATTTCATGATTTAGTGATTAGTAATTTAAGAGTTCCAGCTTGTCTAAAGTTTCAGTATTTAGGTATAAACTGTATACATTTGCACATTTAATGTTTGATACATTAATACATCCTTGATATATTAGCTAGTTAATGTTTGTGATTAATTAAACACATCCATCCATACAACTTTCTTTTTAATGTTTATTTTTGAGAGAGAGAGAGAAAGAGATAGACCGTGAGCTGGGGAGGGACAGAGAGAGAGGAAGACACAGAATACGAAGCAGGCTCCAGGCTCTGAGCTGTCAGCACAGAGCCCAGTGCGGGGCTGGAACCCACGAACCGTGAGATCATGACCTGAGCCGAAGTCAGACACTTAACCCACTGAGCCACTCAGGTGCCCCAATGCTTACAACTTTGATATATAATGAAGAATTTTTTTCCTTTATCCAAAGGTTTGCTGAGAATGGAATTTGAACTGTGTGTTTGGGTAAGACTTGTGAAGAAGTTAGCATGAAGGATGACTGTTAATTAACTGGCATCACTACCTAAATGCTATGGGCACTGTGGCACTAATACATGCTATACTCTCTCTTCCCCACTCATCAGAAATAAAACATATTTGGAAGGCCACCTGAAAGTACTGAATGCGAAAGTAGCTATAGTTTAAGTGTTCTTTGAATTGACAGCACTTTTCTTAATATGGCAAAACCTCAGTAGTAGACTAGTTTTCTCAAATATTCAAAAGAAATACTGTGAAAATAGTGTTGTGTATTTTGTACCTAATGAGCTGGTTATACTTCTTAAAGTTAGCTCACTACTTTGATACTACAAATGCCAAAGCATGTTTTTATTATGCTTCAAAGAGTTGCAAGTTATGAATAATATTTAGGGCATAACCATAGGAAGTAAGGATAAATGACAACCAGAACACCTGATTTTTTGGTGAAAGCACATGGTTTTATGGCATGTTGTCTGCTGGTTAATTTCCCATATAACTTATGGAGCAGGCAATATAGAAGCTCACTCCTGGATAAAATCAGGTAATTTTAAGACTAAGAAGGAAACTTATAGATCACGTGACAGTTATTTTTAAACTGGCCAGGAATACAAAGATCAAACATATGCATACAGACAACAGGTTGTTGAGTGTGTTTGTATAAGAGCAGAAAAAAGAATAACAAGTTGCTAGAATAGAAGTAATAGGAAAGCACAAAAAGAGTACCAGAAGGAAGATTAATGTACCTGGACAGAGCCAAAGCAGCAGATAGGAGTTTGGAAGAAAGGTGTAACCAGGGTCTGGAGTCATTGTTTATTTAATATGAGATCTTAATTTCTTTATAAATCTCACGTGAGTATGTACAGGATGGCTTGATGCAACTTTCTACTTGTATCTGGTTATCTGTTTAGTAGAGTAGAATGCAAATCCTAAATATCTTACCCTGGCAATTCTGCTCTCACATAATAATTCTCAGTGTCCATCTTTGCTAGTCTCAGTGAACAATAAGATGCTAATCAGCACTAAAATAAGCTCTGTAACTCTAGATTCTGAGCAGAGGAAAATAATAGGTGGTATCCTGAACCACAAAATCAGAGATTTATTTTTATAACTTTAGTAACACCTTCTTAGTAGTAGACTCAATCTGTACAGAAGAATTGGATGGTTATGTGTAGCAGTGTCTGGTTTTGGTGGTGGTGGTAGTGGTAGCTGGTCTTCCTGCCCGCATAACAGGTGGAGCTGCCGTCGGGCCCGGGGAGAGAGGAAGAACTACCCCATCCAGCCCCTTGTTTTCCTTTCACCTAGTCTTTTCTGAGCAGTTGCTGAACACAGCCAATTTTTAGGTAATTCTAGATGTCTTTATCAAGTGTCTGATTATTTGTTATCCTTTTCAAGTGCTTTAACAATATCTGCAATTTCCCAATGAGAAGGATGACTAAAATTGTCTTAAAATTTCTTTACAGATGAAGAGGGCAGTCAGGATGAATCCTTAGATTCCAAGGTGTGTATGAAAATTTGCATTGACTACTATTTGATGCCCAGCTTAAAAGCATGAATTCATGTATCTTAAAAAGGATATGAAATCTGCACCTTTTGACAACAGAGCTGGATTAAGAAGAGCATAGCTGATATCAGTGTACTAGTTCTTCTGGGTGGGGAGGAATCACTGACCTGTAGGAAGGAGAATAATAAATACTGTGTTTTCATTCAGAGTGTTGGTTATTAGGTTTAATTTTAACATAAATGTGCTAAGAGCCTGACAGCAGTAACATTTTTACTGCCTAATGAGAGATTGATTTTATTCCTTTTTTTTTTAGTTTTTTTACTTTTGAAGGCTTAACCTCTGCCATTTGTTTCCATTTATATATCAATTTTTATAAGTCTGTTGAGTTAATGCATTTAAATTGGCTAGTTGAGTGAATGAGGCTGATTATTATGTATCCACGGAGACCATTCAGTTATGATCTCTGATCTGTAGATTTGAGGAAACACAGATAAGAACCAGAAAGTTGTAGTACAGGGCTAGCATAAGGGTAAGTATAAGATATGTTGGGAGTTTGGAGGGAAAGTCCCTAATTCAGACTTCAGGAATTAAGGAAGACTTCCTGGGGGAAGTAACATCTAAGTTAAAATCGGAAGAGTCAGGTTAGGCAAGTGATGAAGGCGTGTGATGAACACATACCAAAGTTTAGAGAGACAACCAGGTATGGCACGTTCACAGCTGAAGGCGATGTATCTGGGTTAATAAAAGTAATGGTCAAATTAGGTTGGAGACCATCTCGATACTATTTGAAAACTAAAAATATATTACTTTCTCAGACCCCTTTGCCATCAGATGAGTCGGTAAAGGACCACAGCACAGCAGGCAGAGTAGTCGCCGGTCAGATATTTCTTGATTCAGAAGAATCAGAATTAGAATCACCTATTCAAGAAGAGGAAGACAGCCTCAGGAGCCAAGAAGGGGAAAGGGTCACAGAAGAAACCACCTTTCTAGAATCTCCGAATCCAGAAAACAAGGACTACGAAGAATCAACAAATGTACGGAAACAAGGTAGTCTGGACATTTTCTTTGCTTTTGCCTGATTTAGGAAGGAGACAACTGAAACTTAAGCCAGTGTAGAAAGATGCAAATGTCTGGTTTCTGATTTTGAACTATATATAATATATAAAGTGTGGTAGTATAGGATTTTTTAGATTTTTATATATCAGAGTTATTCATTTAACAGATTTGACCTGTTACATAAGCTGAATTTGATGATCACAATTGCATTTGTATTACAGTAATATCCTAACATTTCTTTTTGTACTCAAGTGTATAATTATCTGCCCGCGTGGTACACAAAATAGAAACTTAAGAAAGATTGTCTGATATGCTGCTCTGGTTATTTTCAGAATTGTGTAAAGATTTTTGCTACAATAACCTTCCCTATCACCCTAGGAAATTGATGTAGGTGTTTATGTTTCTAATTGAAAAATACACGTACACTTTAATTCTTTTCTAACTTTCACCTTCTTGACACCCTCTCTTTTTAAATTTACAACTTGCTCTTTCTCACAATAGAGTGTGCTAAATACCTGTCCTTCTAAAATTAACTGTTAATAAATCCACTCTGTTCTGTCCCATCAGCCTTCTGTCATTCAGTTTATTATTTCAGACATCACCACCATACCCACTTATTATTCCGTTACTAGCTACTTTTAGAAATTGATCCAGATTTGACCTTTCAAAAATATAATTTTTTTATTACAAATACCCATACTTGCAAGTAGAAAAACTGTGTTTAAATAAATTAAAAGCATCTTAATTCCATCAGCTAGACATAACAGCTGTTAACATCATGGAGAAAACTCAGGATCTTTTCTAAATGCATAGTTTTCAGAAGACTGAATTGGGTCAAAATGTATATTCTATTTTACAGCCCATATTTTGTGCCTTAACAGTTTATCTTGAACAATTTCTTTTATCATTTAGTATTCTTTTACAATTTGATGGTTAATGACTATAAAAAATTTTACATGTCAGGGTGCCTGGCTGGCTGGGTCAGAAGAACAACACACAACTTGGTCTTGGGTATAGAGATTATTTAAATAAAACTTAAAAAAAAATTAACATGTAAATATATCATAAGTTAGAAATAGATTGTTTACAGTGTCTATTTGCTGGGCGATCATTTTAGATGTATCTTTGTGCACATCTATGAAAAGTTTCTGAGAATTAATTTTTTAAAGTAAATTTGCTGGACTAAATGTAAAATTTTAAAAGAAGCTTGATACATACTGTTAAATTGTTCTTAGGAAAATAATTCTGTTTGCTTCCTTTGAAACTGCTCCTTTTCCTCCGCCTCTGCCAAGTGTGTATTAAGTCTTTTTAAGTTTTTGCCAAATACTATAGCTTACTTAATTCATTCTTTTTTATGTTTTATAAGGGAGACTTTGAAACATGCACAAAAGTAGAGGATGTAATGGGCCCCTGTGCTCATCTCCCAGAGTCAGTGGCCCTCCACCATCTTTTTCCTGTTGAGTCTCTGCCTCCCCACACACGTTAACTCCTTTCTTTCCTAGAGTATTTACAGCAGATTCCACATGTTATTTCACCTACATATGTATCTCTAAAAGTATGGGTTTTTTTCCCCCAACAATACCACAATAGTATTAGAACACCGACAAAATTAGCTGTTATCCCTTTAATCACTCAATCCCTAGGCTCTCCGTTTCCAGCTGTTTCACATATCTTCTTAGAACTGATTTGTTTGATTCAGTATCCACACTGTGATCGTAGATTTCTCTTAATCTATAACAGTTCTCTCTCCCTTGTTTTTTATTTCATTTTATTTGTTAAATAATGTCCTTTGTGCTATACAGTTTCCCATATTCTGAATCAAGTTGGTCGCATCCTTGTAAAGTCATGTAACATGTCCATTGTCTGTTTTCTAGGTTATAAACTGGGAGTTAGCTCTACAGACTTGGGTAGGTTTAGCTCTGGCTTTTTATTGAGATCTCATAGTGTTGTGTACTTCCTTTCACGTTCCATTGCATATGATACCTGATTGTCCCACTTCTAGTGATTAACCAGTGAAGTTGGGTGGTGCTGGCCTGATCCAGCCACGCGAAAGTTCCTCAAACATTTCACATAGAGGTTTTGGCAACCATTTTGTTTGTTGTCTGGAGTTCACTAAGAGTTGCAAAGTGATGGCTTTCTAACGTATAATTCCACCTGCGTTTGTTACCTAGAATTCTTTTATAAAGAAAAACTTTCCCTCATCAAGTATTTGGCTACCTTGAAACATAGTCCTTACAAACAGGATAAAGGCTTAAGCTTTTCCCTTGTAGTATTTTCAAATAATAATTTGGTGCCCTAGCAACCTCCAGAGGAGGCCATCGAGTACGTTTTTTGTTTGTTTGTTTCTGTTTGCTTTGCTTTTGCTTTGCTTCTGAGTATCATTACAGACCCATGGGTTTTACATGTTTATGCTTCACGTTATTGCAGTCATGCTTCTTCATTGCTCATGTGACCCCAGCTGTGCCTGTTGAGAATCCCTTTGAGTTCATTCCTTTGTTCTTTTGGCTAATTGTAGGTAACTTTTAAACATTTTTCTTTTCAGGCAGGATAGGATGTCTTAAATTCATCTTCTACATTTTCTAACCCAGAAATGAATCAATCATCCTCCTCCCCCCCCCCAAAAAAAAAACCAGATTCCTGTTAGTGGGAAATTGTATTTAGACACTACAATCTAGGCAACAGGGACATGCACTGCAGCTGAGTTGTCAGTACTCGTAGCCCTTTTTGGTAGGTATGGTTAGGAAATGTATCATTCTTCCTGATTCTTCCAGTTCAAGTTAAATATTGTGAGAAAACCCAGTGGGTCAGATTGACACATTGGACCCCAAAGAATCAGAGATCTTGCCCAGTGCCAAACCTGACTAGTGTGTTCAAAGATAGAATTATCACAAGACACAGGTGAACTGGAGAGAAGTCCATGACTGTCAGGGCTGCTCCCAGCTACCGCTGGCCTCAACTAGGATGTACTCTGGCCCAGATTTTAACATACGAAGCCTCTAAGTGATGCATGTGGAATGTCACGTCCATGAATGGGAGCTATTTCAGTTATGAAACATCTCTAGTTTATTCTCTGATAACTGCATAGCTCGTGTGATATTTTCTAGGAAGTCATTCCTCATGAATATATACATCCTAGGTTTATGTACAATGAGCAGTATAGACATACCACATGCATCCTGTTAAAGCATTCCATAGGTAGGAAGGACCCGCCTGGTTGTAAATACCTTTAGTGTGTTTGACGGAAGGCTTTTGTCAGGTGATCATGTCTCCTCTCTGTTTCTGTATAACATAAATTATATATGCACGGTTTTGTATGCAGTCCCAACTAGGTTAGAACTGGGTAATATGATACTTACTTTTAGACGTGCTTCCTTTGTTGTTCTCTCATCCACATCTCTGCCATTTGAGCTTCCTAAAACCCAAATTTGATCCGTAACTCCCCTATTTACAACCCTTCCATATCTCCCTATTTGACCGTGAGATGAAGCATAAGCCCCTTAACATGATTCCCAAGATCTTCCATGGGCAACATGCCTGCTGGCTTCTGTGACTTTGTCTTTGCGTCTCTGCCCAGGACCCTCTTTCAGCGATATCGGACCCATTACCATTCTTCAGATACACCGTGCAGTTTATGCCTCTAGGTCTTTGTACAAGTTCTTCCTGCTGCATGGATTACCTTCCTCACCCCCTTGCCCAAATTGATCCTATTTCTCCTTATCCTTAAAGATGAACTTAAGTTTCTCTTTTCTGAAGTGGATCTGAACCACCAAAGGGCAGTTGAAGAGTCTCATGTCTGTAAGAACTTCCTGCCTGGTGTCCCTGCTTTCTCCTTTATGTCACTTCTCTAACAGCAGCCAGACCAGTTTTCCTTCCTGTTCAGAGCCTCCAGTGACGTCCGATCACATTTAGAATAAAGTCCAAATAAGGCCTTCCACGATCAAGCCCCTACTATCTCTCCGACTTTATCTTCTGCCACTTCCCTTCACTCACATGATTCCAGCCACACTCGCCTTCTTATTGTTAAATATTTTACACTTAATTCCAACTGTTTCTGGGATCCCCAGGGCCACATCTCCAGGCTCGATGACTTTCCATGAGACTCATAGGACTGAGCATGTTGCCCTATTTATAGCTTTGATTTATCACAGCAGAAGAACACAAAATATAATCAATAAAGAGAAATATGCATAGGTGAATCCTGGGGGCTAACTGGATATAAGCTCCCTGTGGCCCTCACCCTGGGGAGTCACACATAACGTGTTTAATTTCTCCAGCAACAAGTTGTGACAACATGTGTGACATGCTGTCTACCAGGGAAACTCATGAGAGACCTATACCTAGAGTTGTTTTAGGAGGCCGGTCATGTAGGGACTCTGTGCTGTGCCTAGCACAGACCAAAACTGCAGACTCGTGGAAGGAAAGCAGGTGTTCACCATAAACCATATTGTTTGTGCAGTTGGAATGAGTCACTCCTAACAGGGTAGCGGGAACCCTTCCAAAATCTTAAGTTCCCAGACACCAGCCAAGGACTAACCTTATAAGCAGGTCTTGTCAAGGGCAGAAGTTTAAGCCTGCTCTGTGAACCCTTCTCTGCACAGTCTATCCCCTTGGTCATTGGCCATATTGGCTTTATAGCAAAGTTACCCTCAGTAAGACCCAGACAGCAGGAGACCAGTCTGCAGTCTTGATTTCAGTTATGCCCTTCATGGGTCCTGGACTCAGCCAGTCAACAAATGCCAGTAATCATAAAGGCCTGTCTTAGCCAGGTGGCTTCCTCCTGAAATATCTGCATTAACCCTTTTTACCTGGCCTTAAGCATCAGTTCAGGCCCAGCACAACCGGCCAGTAAGTTGAAGCTGAGGCAGTGTCGTGATAGGGTGCACATACAGAAATATAGTCCCAGAGGGCACATGTGGGAACCCTGAGAACAGAGAGGTTACCATCTTTGGGCCACTGCAAGCAGGGCATATGCTAGGCAGTACCATGGGCTT